CATGTCTTAGAATGGGATAAGGAAAAGTCTCGGGTTTATATAAAGGTACTTATGAAATTATATGAGATTTTATTTTTAAAAAGAAAATAATTTTAATTTTTAAATATGTTAGGGTGCTTTAATAAAAACTTAAGGTGTCAATAAAATTTTCTTTTTTAAAATTTCCCTTATAAAGGTTCGGGCCAGCTCGGGCTTATCTTGATTTGTCGGATTATAATTTTGACTGATCCAATCCAATCCGAATATCTCATTCGGGCGAGCGACCCGAAATTTCAACTATATTCTTTAAGTTAATAGTAATGTTAGTCCCTCAATCATAAGTATTATATCACTTCGATTCTTGAAATTTGAATTTTAGAAAAAAGAATAATAATGATTAGTCTCAAAACTTTATCTTTTAGCATTTTTAATCTGTGATGCTAAATAGGCAAGTGACTTTTAAAATTCAAATTATCACCTATCAATCATAGTTCATTTGCATCAAAATTCAAAAATGTTTGAACTCAAATTATAACTTTATTTAAGTTCACATTTTTTTTGTAAAATTTGAGTTTGAACTTGGGTTTTAACTTGAATTTGAGGCTAAAATTTGAGTTCAAGTTCCCCTTTCAACTCAAGTTATTAAACTCAAGTTAATGAACAATATTTTTTCTATCCTTAAAAACGTCATAACTTTTTCGTTTTAATTCCGATTGAAATGATTTTTTTCTATGCGTTCACAATGAAGAGACAAATAAAACCTCACTCATATACCCTATTAAAATTTTCCATCACCATTGAGTTTTTATTAAAATACTATCTATATACAAATTTAAGTTTTGACCCACTCAAACACAAACTCAAATAGATTCTCAATTCAAACTATAACTCAAAATGTGCACATCCAAACACAAAGTCAAATTTAGAGTCTTAACTCAAACCATACTCAAATACACCTTAACTCAAATCAAAATTTGAATTCAAATCACCCTAACTCAAAAAAATATAAATGAACAAGCTCATAGTAACTCAAATGTTTATAGAAATATATAGTTACGTCAAACGTAAAATATTCTAGTTTTTTAAGTGTTTTAACAACAATGAAAAGAATACTTTACATTTAATATAATTATTTGTGTAAAAGTTTCAGTAACTATGCTACTATTTCTGTGAAATTCTAAAAATCCTTCATCCATTTTGATATAAGGGATAGGGAAACAACGGGTGAGGTGGGGGCAGGGAATGATTTCCCTTCTTCATCCCGCCTCACAAATCATCCTCATCTCCGTCTTTATTCTCGCTTCCGATGAGGAGGGAGTGGACCGGTGATTGCCCATTGCGGGGTAGCCACCCCCACACCCGTTATATTCTTCATTTAATATACAATGCATTTCAAAATTAACAAAAATAAAGTCAAAATTCACTATGAATTTAAAGTAAAAGTATAAAATCAAAGGTCACACAAAACAAGCCAAATTATAAATATATGTACCTCAAATCCTAATAATGTAGTTACAAAAGGACTATTTATATTTTAAAAACTTAAAGCTTTCGAGATTTATTTATATAAATAAATATTTATATGAATATCGGGACAGGAGCAGGTAGGGAGTGCTTCCCCAACCCCATTACACTTCAATTTGGGGACAAGATTTTGTCCCTACCTCTGTCTTCATCTCAGCTATTGTCCATTCCTATTAAATTGTGGAGCATAATTAATTGCTCCGATAATTCATTACCTTACACAAAGGATTCGCGGATCGACCTCTTAAAATTTGGTTACACTGGTTTTGATTATTAAAAGGGGGCTCCGTTTTTAGGGTTAATAAGAGAAATAGAGAAGAAACATAGAGAGTTGTGAAGTGTGCGATTTTTCTCTTTTAATTTCTTGTTTATCATATTGAAAAAACTGCATCGTTTAAAGAAGGAAGTAATCTCACATTGAGGCGAATCTCTATAATTTTTTCATTTTTACTTGATTTATTTTTTGGGTTTCTTATTGCTCTTTATTCTAATTCTTAACAATCCCCCCACTCTTTTTGGCGTGGGTCTTGTCCTCGTAGGGAATACTACCATTTCAAGTAAGGGACCACAAAAACAAAAAAGCAAAAAAAAAAAAAAAAAACAACAACAACAACAACAAACAAAAGCTAAAGGACTAATTTTGTCAAAAACAAAAGTTTAAGGGCCAAAATCATACCATGCTTATAATTTAGAGACTAAAGTGCTTCTATATGAGACTGCATCAATTATATAAATGTCAAAGGAGAATTCATAGTAAGGTATCAAAAATTATCTTATTTTGAATTGTTAGATCACGAAAAAATCATGAATTTTACTTGATTTCATGAAAATCTGACGACGTCCAAAGTTGGCGTTTTAATTTTTATCTCATTTCATAAAATTTTTTCTTTCAAAATTTTAGGAGGAGGTTTAACATTCATTAAAAATCGAATTGTTTTTACTACGCAAAAAGGAAAAAAAATTAAGGAAAAAAATTTGTGATAAGTCCTTCTTTCATTGTAGAATTCTCCACATCAGCTAGTCCGGCAGCCTGCATTTGATTTGGTATTGCTTTAAAGCATCGATCTCCGACTGAAGTTCTATGTAAGTTTGTAGAAACAGTCAAAAAACCATTATTTCAATATTAAAGAAGAAATAATATATAAATATTATTTTATATTATAATTTGTACGGTTCTTAAAAATGTGATGTTAATTTAGATTTACCATTAGAATTTATATTGAAATCTTTTCAGGTGATTCTAACTTGATAAATTCTAAAAATACGTGGATTTATTAAAAGAAAGGAAAAACATAACAAGAAAAGGAAAAAATTGAAAAATTAAAAATTAAAAACTGTCTACTAATTCTTATACATCCTCAAGTGTAGTATACTCTACCTACATATTAGATCGTCAAATTACAAAATGAACAAGAGCTGAATTTTGTGGCATCTAGATTGACGTACACCGGAGTTTCAGGTTGTTAATTTTATAATTTGCGTTCGTAAAATTCAACCTCAAACTCTGAAACTTGGAACAAACTGAATCTCTAATGTCAACCTAAATGCCACAAAATTAACTATTGTTCAAGGGTGATGCAAATAATTTAATAATTGCATTTAAAATTAAATTAACAAATACAAGTAATTTTAAATAGAACAAGTGCTTACACAGTTAGTTGGCATCAAAATTTGTCTTGTTGATCATCACTGCAATGCTCCTTCAACGTCCTACACATATGCACAGATAATTATTAGAAGACGTATAACTATTTTAATTTAAACAAATATATTCAAAATTATTTTATTGGCTGCAAAAGGAATCAGATGAGAAGAATAATTCATACTTTTATTCACCAAAAAAAAAAAAAAGAAAGAAATCGCCAACGAATTGAACAGAAATTTCGAAAGCAATATTGAGTGACATGTACAACATTAGATTATAAAGAACAACAATTTCTTTGGCTGAATTGCTATGGAAAAATATCATATTCCTATCACTAGATAAGTAAAGAATGAACGTTTCAAAGTCGATTATATTGGGTTGAAGTGCAGATGGGGATGATTTCTCCTGCTGTGAGGTTACTATATTAATTAATTCTTTCAAAACTAAGCAACTATTATAAAATAGAGTTACATATAGAATATAACTTAAAATTCAACCATTTATATTTTTCAGCAAAATTTATTAGGATCTACAGGAACTCTAAACAAAAAACCACTAAAATTATCTTCAATCCTTCATTCAAACGTATTATTAGAAACAAAACAAAACCCTGGCCAGAATAACAACAAAAGAAAAAAAAATATATATGTGAACAAATATTAGAATTAGACAGAAAGAAATCAGCAGAAGAAGAATATTATCTAAAACTCCGGCCACCAACAAATATCTGACCAAAACAAAAGGAAAAAAATTTATTAAAAAAAAAAAGAAAATTATATTGAGAGAGAGAGAGATTTAGAGGAAGAGCTGAGGCCTGAGAGTGAGAGCTAGGGCTGGCACAGATGAGTGTCTAATAATAAATAGTTTTTTAGACGTCGTCTATTGAAATACAACACTATATAGGCCACATCTATGGTGCGAACTGCGAATTAAGTCTGTTGTCCTTTTTCTTAAGATGTAAATTTCTTCCATCTCTTTGTAAAAACTCTCATAATAATTTTGCATTGCTCTTATAATAATTCACAGGTTTCTTGCACCTCTTGAATTTTCTTAAAGTCTGTATCTTAATAATTTTCTTTACAATGCTGTATCTCTACGCTGCTGCATGTTTTAAATGTCTAGAGCTTCTCAAATGCAACGTCAAATGTTATTAAATTTAGCAATATGCTATACTTGGGCAGTAAATTTAGCGAATGTTATTTTTAAGTATATTTTATTTTAAAATAATTTTTTTAGTAATTTATTTTAAAATAGTTTAAAAATACAATGATGTAATGACTATAAAGTCTGCGTGTTATTTTTAAGAGTCTGCGTGTTAAAAGGATCATATACATACAAATTGTGACGATTTTTTAGAGATTTTTGTGCAATTCGAAGGTCCTCCTCTCTCTATCTAAAAGCAAAAGATTTTTATTTTTTATTTTTTTTATTTTTTCAAGAGAAAAACCCAGAAAGTTCTTACATGCAATAAAACAGTAAAAGGCAAGACAACTCAAGGGTGAAAGCAACATATACATTCGAACCCCAGCCTTGCACATTCTCAAAACTTGATTAATTTTGTAATTATTAGACACAAAAGCGACCTTTTCCTCCTATAATGGTGGAACTAGAGATGCTGTTTCAAAAAGGGTATTTTTAAGAGGCACCTCTTTTGTAACATTCTGCATTTTATTTTTATATATATTTAGGTTTAGCCTTTTAGATTGTTTAAGACCCGCACAAAAAATTTGAATTTTAAATGTCAAAATTAAGAATTGTGATTTGAGTATACCTTCTATACTCGCCCTTAACTTTTGAGTTGGTGTCAATTTAGTTGGAAGATGCTCAAAAAGTATGATATACTAACTCTTCCTTTTTATTGAACAAAAAAATCCCAGCAAATAGGATATTGTGCAGTAGCAAAGACCATAAGTAAAAACATTCATATAAACCCTATATTACAGTCTTAAAAAGCTACAAAATCTGAAAGAAAAAACCTGCTCCTTCTAATCTGGCAAAATGAAGAGATCTTCAAATATCAAAGGTATCGCATTACACAAGACACTCTGTACATGAATATTGAATGTGGCGACAAATTTTTAGTCTCAATGGTTCCCTTTAGGCCCCAATTTGTGCAATTTTATATGTTTTATTTGGACGTCTTGTCTGCATACAGGGCATGAACCATGTCTAATGAGCCATTGGTCCACACATCTCAAGTGAAAAGTGTGATGGCAAAGAGGCAAACTCCTTACAATCTCTCCCACTTCAAGATCCTAAAAACAAATGGATGGATAAAGTTAATCCACAGATAAGTGATAATTAAATACAGAAACTCTCTCTAAGTCGAAAATTTTTGTAGTATGCACAAGTTTCATTTTGATAAAGCAATTATTATCCCCTTTTTCACATTTCCAAATGTGCATATATGGTAATATTCTAAACCGACTATACAGATGAAATATTGAAAGCCTTCCCAGAAACGGATTAAGACCTGCAAACATATCGCACAGCAGATACTCTGAGCTGTCTTAGTTTCCTCCAAAACCTCGTGACAAGGCAATCTCTTCAGCAAATCCCTTGACAGCCCTCTCGATGCAACTGTCTCATTAGCATCATGAATCTCATCATTGCTAAAATTGGCTAAATTAACCTGCTAGTTCCGACAAAAAATAGGCCACAGCAAGATATCAGTTTTCGGTTGCCGATGTTATCTATTCTTCTCTACAAAAAATGTCTCGTCGTGAACTCATGACAAAAGTGGCAGGAGGAGGCAATTAACAAAGCATGTTTTAAACGTGTGATAAAAGAGGGAAGTCCGTCTGCTTGCTACCAACTATAGTGGGAATGTCACATGTGAATGCAAAACAAATGGCTCTGGATTTTAAATATTGAGAAAGAAGAGAGAAAAAGAAACCTGCCAATGGTTACTAGTTAGCATTGCTGGTGTAAAGTGCTCCTCTATAAACCTCCCACGAAGAACTTCTTCTGTAAAATCAGCCTGAAGCAAAAATATGGTGTTGGTCTACAAATAAAACAGAATGATAGAAGCCTGCGATTTTATGGCACTTATAAAGAGTCTACAGAAAAATCATGCCATGAATGGATAAATAATGTACATAGAACTCCCTAAGGACCTGAGCGAAACACGGTTCTACTATCTGGCTAGCCAAGTTTGACCGAAAAGGTCCCAAGCTTATCCCTAAGTTTGGATGAAAGTAGATCAAGTCCAGTTTTTGGCAGGACGGAAATCATGAACATGGAAAGATGGAAATCATGAACATGGAAAGCAGGAAAAAGTAGACCATAATGTCTGATACACTAACCATAGCGGATGAGCTCCGTGCTCCAGATTGATCCAGACACAAGAAAGCGCGGGAAGCCTCAAAAATCTCCAAAGAGAGTATAGCCCCAGCAATCGCACCAAGTCCTGCTCCACGGGCAATACCGCTATCAGAAGCCTTACCAGCTAAAGCGCCGGCAATAGCTCCTGCAAAACATCCAACTGAAACAGGACAGAAAGGAGATTAATTACAGACATAAAGGAAACAGGGAAAAATAACGATGACGGTTCCTGGCTACCCATAATTTCCATAATCCAGTTTTGTACATAATTGTATACAGGAATTTGATACTGCAGTAGTAAAAATACTTCAACACAATCTGCCAGAACATACAAAAACACACATAGCAATGTTTAATGCCTAATAAGCTGTATACAATTAACTCAAAACAACACAGAAAAGAAGAAATCCGCTACAACAGGGGAAAAATAAATCCAGTATCTTATGAAACGCCAATAGTTATTTCTTTCACTAATATGTTCCTTTTCAAAATTCAACACTGACCTTAACATATTCCTTATACAGAACTGCATAGAGGAAAACCCATTATTCACATGCTATTAAATCAATAGTAAAAACACAAAAGATTCAGGGTAAAAACTAAACAAAAAAGAATCATAAAGACAAAGGCAACAAATCTCAATTACCGCAAGCAAAGAGGAGAAGCAGAGCCCAAGTGATCCCGGACACAAAAAGGCGGGGAATACGTTGAAGAAAGCCGCCATTTTCGAAGCTTCCAGTCTCCATAACCGGCCTCTGCTAATTTCCATAAATATGTTAAAAGAGTATAATGGTAAGTAAGAATGAAAACCCTAGCTCATAATTTGAATTGGGATCGAAGGGAATTGAATACAAATAAGAAGAGAAAAAAAATTGAGTGAAGATTTTTGGGGATCGCGAAGTTTTGGGGATTGATCAGTATGGTTTGTTTTGGGCAATGAAAACAGAGATTTGGAGATTAATTGGGGCAAGAGAGACACGGAAAGATCAAATACATATAAAGAATGTGAAAACTTTGAACAAATGAGAAACTAATGGCAGGGCAATTACGAGTCATCTTTTTGGTGGAAGGGTACATATAAAGAATGTGAAAACTTTGAACAAATGAGAAACTAATGGCAGGTCAATTACGAGTCATCTTTTTGGTGGAAGGTTAATCACGAGTCATTTCTATGATTCCTCAATCATTGTCGTATCTCAAAGCACACAGTTCAATATCTTCGTTTCTTTCGCTGACATAACGACTAAGTTTTTTTTTTTAAATTTTTTTTTTACAACATTTCCAATTTTAAATCTCTCGCAGGAACTTTTGCAATTTTAATAATTGCGCCCCAATTTCAAGATGTTCCTAAGTGATATATGTTCCTCTCTAACTTTAAAATATCATAACAGTATTGCTCTTTTGATAGTTTTTGGACAGATTACATCATATGTCTAAAGAAATTGGGAACAATGGCTTACTTTTCATTGAATAAAGGTGAGGTATATATACACGTACAAGATGAGATTGGGTTGTTGACCAAATCTCAATTAATAGTCAATCAGAATATTCTAGATTTAGCTAATTACCTAATCTATGGGATTTGCTATCAATTCAAAATATTTACAACATCTACAGAAATACACAATTCATTAATTAATAAATTAATTCCTCTAATATGCCCCCTCAAGATAGAGCTTGGGTAGAGAGTCCAATCTTAATCTTCAAAAGTTGAAAGCGAATGCGTGGAAGAGGCTTGGTCAAGACATCGGCTAGTTGATCTTCTGAGGACACATGAGTGACACGTAAAGCTCCACTTTGTACTTGATCACCACTTTGTACTTGATCACGAATAAAGTGATAATCAATTGCAACATGCTTCATTCGTGAATGGAAGACAGGATTGGAACAAAGATGAGTTGCACCAACATTCTCACAATAGATAACTGGAGCAGCAGGA